CTCATGAGTATTGAAGAGTGTGTATGCATCATAGGAGGAAGGGATTGAGGCTGAGAGTGTTCATTCAAGGTTGGCTATGGTAGATACTTACCTGAGTTGGATGTGACCTGCAGAGGTGGCGCTGATGAGTGGTGACCACATTGATGACTTGGAGACTATCTGCAGGGGTAGCACTGATTCACTGGAAGGCATATTGATGAGTTGGCAAGATATTGGTGTTGCGCTGATGAGCGCTGGACTCAGGGGAACTTTGAAACATTTTGTATTTATATTTCTGATAATATAAACTGTGAAACTCGGTCCTCATCTTCTCTATCTTTGTCTATTGTCAGACTACTGTTCATTGTGTGTGGGAGTATGCACAAGGGAGACACATACTTGATTTATGCAATCAGGAAAAAATAAATAAAAATAAGACCGGATCGGATTTCAGAAACCGCAAATGCAGTCTGCATTCTTTGCTCTATTCAAGATTGAATATGCCATTCGACTAAGGACCTGACATCTGACGCAGGCAGAAGTCAACATTAACGGACTGACACTTTTCTGACTGCATATAATAATTGCCAACAGACAGGACTGACTGACAGACCAAAACAGGCGGCTGAAACGGACACGGTTTACGGTAGGCACTTCCAGTACTGGCAGGCAATCACATCAAGCCAGGGTAGGTCAAAGCAATTCCATTATAAGATTAAAACAAACTTAGAGACGGGTCAGAAACAGCCAAAACGTTAACTGACAAGCGGTCTGATCTAGAGTGCAAACGGACTGACGACTGACAGACGCTGACAGACACAGACAGGGTCTGATGTCGCACCAGGAAATATACGGAACGGACTCACTTAAATGAAACCTGATTGAAGATATCCAAGCGGTCAACCATTGACCGCCAATCTGCAGCAGAAAATCGTAGAAGCAGGCTGACGCTGATGTCAGACCTGCATCGAAGATTCCCCCAGTCTTCGAATCAAGTAACTTGTCGAAATAACCACAGCAGCGGCCCAGCCGGTCGAACACACCGTCAACAGGCAAGGGCTGTAACTTGAGGGTCACAAGGCCCTCAGGTCAACCAGCCCACTTAGGGTTGATGCTGCGTTCAACTCCACTCTCGCCACCCAAAACTTCCAAGGAACGTTCCACCACTCCGCATCTTTTTTTTTTTTTTTTTTTGACAGCGGTAATTCTCCCCTCGCACACTACCTTCCACCACGTCTCACCAACGACATCCGTTGAAGAAAGTGGACAACAAGTCYCTACTCCAACCGCCGCTCAGAAAGGAGGTTGCCACTCAATTGCTCGCTGGTTGCACACGATCGCAGCTCCGATACCAGCTGTTATGTACCCGATTGAACTTCAATCCACAACGAATTCACACGTTCCCATACACGCATGTAATTGCAGAGTAGACTCGAAGGAGGCAAATCCACACAAAACGGGAGAGAAGATATGCACAGTGGAAGCTCAAAATACACAGGGAATTGAAAAACGAATTTCAATTCTGCAATCCCTCGTCCTCCTCCAATCAATCCAGAGTACTTGTTCCAAGAATCTCAACCGTGTTTGCAACAACCCCGAACAACCAGAAACAAGTGTTCAACGAAGTATGCAGGAGTCTTCTTCTTCCTCCTCGCCACCTCATACCCCTGGCTAGCAGCAGTAACCCCACAGCTGTCACAACGTGCCAATCTGAACCAGCAACCCTAATGATAACAGCGCCAGCTCAGCACCCGCACGGAAGTGCAGCGCTGGAAGTCCTGATGAAGAAGGAGACAACTGATCCAGCACTTCGAAGAAGACAAAGTTCCTCGAGAGGAGGAACAGCAGATATGGCTGCCAAGTGGAAGATGGCAGCACCCAAACCCAACAACACAGTCCTGTGGAAGCTCTCATGCAGAGCTGCGAAATAGCAGCAGTGCGATCTTCAACTTTGTTTCCCAACCCCAGCTATGGCTGGGCTTCGAGGAAGAAGATGGCCTCGCCCAAAATAGAGCAGCAGCGCTCCAGCAACGGACGGGCAGAGTTCCCCAGCCAACAAAACGTGAAAAGACTCGAACCAAATTTCCTGCCCGCTACTTCTACCCTCTGCCTAGACCTACGACCGACTCCAAAAGGCAACAACCCAGTACTCATCTGCATCTACATGGAAATAGGGGGAAAAGGGGGCCTAGACCTATGACAAGGCAAAAGGAAAAGGTCGAATGGCCTAAGGCTACCAAACAGAGACTACTAGTGACAGACTCAGGGATCAAGTCCCATAGGGCACAACACTCACTAACAAAACACAAGAGTTACAGGTCACGGGATCAAGTCCCGCAAGGCTCAAAACAAGAAAACAAACTACAAAGCCAAACACTTAGTGTACAGCCCCACTGGGAAACTGCGATTTATTGCACTGGCGTGGCACATTGTGTGCATATTGCTGATGCTGATGTGGCGTATTGAGTAGGGAGTGTCGATGTGCCAAATTGAGTACAGATTGCTGATGTGGCAGAGGTGGGGAGCCTGAAGGAGAAGAGGGCATTACACTGCTTCTTCCAACTGCCTATTCTTCCCTCCTCTCCTTTTCTGGATACTGTGGACTTGGAGACATACACGTGGTAATGAGGAAACATGTACTTCAATGACTTCGAACTGATGGACTTATTGGATTGATTATCTCATGACATTGCACGACATTGTTATCTGCGACATGATTGGATGACAAGACTGGGTTCATTACAGTGTTAACTTGGCCTGCCTTCACCGTTTTGAGCTCGTCTATTACCTAAAACTAGTTGTTGTTATTTATGCAGCTGTGAAAGGTTATTTAGATCAAATTCAGATTTCTCCAATGCTTAAATATGAAGTTTTGAACAAGAGTTGATTGATCCAAGTTTGCTTTCTGCGATTGCACAACAAAAAACAATCACTGAACAAGGGCCGGTCAGTTCAATGATGATATCTCAAGGATGTCGCTTTTTCGAAAAAAGGACTATGCCATTCTGTTTTAAACTGTCTTGATCATGCTGGATTTGTCAAAAAAGCAAAAATTGTGTTTAGAGCTGGCGGGCAAGTCTTTTTTAGCAAAATGAGGCATTCAGCCCGCAATGCTGCTCTGCCTATGTTGCAGCCCACAACACCTGAAACCTACTCACCCGTCAAATCACCTGCCTGGGTTCAAATCCTGGCCGCAAAGCCTGACTCAAACTTGCAAAAAAGAGGTGCTTCAGTTCCTGAGGTCGAATCCCAGTGTACAAGCAGTTCAGAAAATAGCACAAGAAATAGGCTCTGCCCAACAATCTGCTACCCGCCCACGCCTTTCTTGAACTTGGAACTTGGAACATGTGGAACACTTCGAACACTTGGGACTGTACCTGCCTGCCCGGAGCTGTGCCTTGATACTGTGCCTGCCTGGCTTGAACTTGGAACTGTGCCTGCCTGGCTGGAACTTGGAACTGTCCCTGCCTGGCTGGAACTTGGAACTGTCCCTGCCTGGCTGGAGCTTGGAACTGTTGCCCTAACTGGAACTGCGAAGTTTGAACTGTGCCTTCACAGCTAGAACTTGGAACTTGGAACTGTGCCTTCCTGGCTGGAACTGGGAACATGGAGCTTGGAACTGTGCTCACCTGGCTGCACTTGGAACCATCGCTCTCTGGCGTGCACTCTCTCAGTTTTGACGAGTGCTGCTCATGGGAGGTTCCAGCCTATTTCTGGAACACTTGTACTCCGACGAATGATGTCTATAGAGCACTCCATTTAAGTATGAGGGCGTACTTGCACTACGGGAATAATGTTTGTGACAAATTTGTGGATGCAGTTGCGGTCAGATACATCCAGGGCATACCGTTATTGTGGTCACGTGCATCCGAAAAGGTCATGGTGTGAGTACACTCTTAGTCATGCAGCTTGTCTAGTTACATTGAGCACTTTGAGATCCTCTTTGTCATAAAAAAAGGTGCTAAAAAAAAAATAGTAAACAAATGACGGAATCTTATAGCGAAATATAGCCACGTTGGCTTCCATAAAGTTCCATCTTTTTTTTTTTTCTATGCTCAGAAGTGACAGAGAAAGGGAAAAAAGTGGGCATGGCTCCATTCAGCATGGATCAGCAGAGACATTGTATGTAAGGAAGGTTTTTTTTTTTCTTTTTTTATTTTGTGTGTGTGTATAAGGACGTATGCAAACTGCCATGTATCATAAATTCATTATGTCTGACCTAGCATCTTTCTTCCTCTCCCCCCCCACCTCTCCCCCCGCCGAACACAACGCACTCTGATCATGAATGTATACATGCTGTCTTTCCTGTTCGATACGATCATGATGAGGGCACGTTGTGTTCAGACGAAGACCATAATGACGTGGCGTATATCAGATGAGGGGAATAGAACTCACCCTCAATTTGCCTCATGCCATTTCTGTCTTTGTGAAATCAGAGATTTGGCTTTATACTGTACCGGACACAGCTATCTGCAGCGATGGACAATGGCAAGATTCTCATAGAGATTGGTCGGGTAAGTTTCTATCAATAAGGAAAATGAACCAGGGACTTCTTTGAAGTTCTTTACTCTTTCTTTTTTTCTTCTAATCTAATCTTAATCTCAGTTTGCAGGGTCTCTGAATTCCCTTGATTGATTCTCAGCTGAAGCCGGGGAATGGCCCCGGTATCGCACATAATCTGTAAAGCTTTCATATGGGAAGCTGGGTCCGGTTCCCAGCACGTGCTGCTCCCCACGAATAGACCGGAGTCCCAAAATATATATATATATATATGTGACGATATATATATATATATATCTATTTGACGATATATATATATAAATATGAGTCGGTGAAACTCCGACAAAACAGTTTGTCACAGCCCCTCGTTTGTTGTCCTCTTCTCCCTCTCTGTCTACGGTTTACCAGGCAGTTCTATTTGACGATATATATATATATATATATATACGGTTTACCGGGCAGTTCTATTTGACGATATATATATATATATATATATATATATATATACCGGGCAGTTCTGTTTGTGACGATATATGCTACGACTTCGCTAGCTTCCTGCTACGGTTTTTTCCGGTCAGGTCGAGCGGCAGTGGTCGGGGCCGTTACTAGGCGGCCATGCTGTGCCTCTAGTGCCAGCGGYGTGTCTGGAGTGTATTTTTTGGCTGTGACAGACCTTTCTTTGTTTCGTGGATGTTTTGCTGGCTTGTGATGGGGTGTGAACCGACAGTCTGTAGAGTTTTCCATCTGGTGTGGGTGAGTGATAGTCTACTTTGATTTTGGTTAAGGTAGTGAGCTGTCTCTTATACACATCTAGATGTGTATAAGAGACAGCTGTTGAGGGTTCAGCCTCCTGATGAGTCAGTGAAACTCCGACGAAACAGTTTGTCACAGCCCCTCGTTTGTTGTCCTCTTCTCTCTCTCTGCCTACGGTTTACCGGGCAGTTCTGTTTGTGACAATATATATATATTTGTGACGATATATATATTGTCACAGCCCCTCGTTTGTTGTCCTCTTCTCTCTCTCTGCCTATGGTTTACCGGGCAGTTCTATTTGTGACGATATATAATCTAAATCTTAATTTGACCAAATCTATAGTCTTATCTAAGCCAACCTCAAAAGTCAACATTGGGTCTCTTGTGGTGGCACTTGCGGTAGGTGGTTTTGTGAAAGATCGGTGAACTCAAATCTATGAGATCTTAAAGTGGAGATCTGGCTTCGTGTGATGGTAGGGGGGTTTTGCAAGGGACCAGTGAGATCAAATCCTCAATAGTGCACACGTGTACACGTGTATCAGTGATCACAGGTCATGTGTTCAAATCCCGGGCAGTACATACAGTGTCATACACATGTCTAGCTGTTGACAAACATGTCATGAGTTGCAGGTCATGGTTTTAAACCACCCCTCTACCCGCCTCCTGGAAAGTGCCCTCCGTGTGAGTTCGGGCGGGTTTTTTGGGGGGGGCGGCGACCGTTGCCAAGCGGCGGGCCGTGTCCCACAATTTCAGAGCAGCGACTTTGGCGATTTTTCGTGCTCAGAAGAATTCACAGAAAAATCTAAAACTTTGAAGGTCCCTAGATTAGGTCGTGATCTTTCCAGGAAAAATATCAGAAAAAAATAAAATAATTTTGCCCATGAAATAATCGCCATGCCGATTCGGTGCATTTCCATTTCGCCTGTGGCACTCTTGGTGCCAACCAACTCGGATAGTCAGCTGGATCCTCCCAGCCAGTATTAGTAAGGTCTTCAGCCAACACGGGTGCAAGTGTGCGTGTGTGAGTGGGTTGTGTGTCACGTGTGGGAGAGTGTTGGCTTTACACACTACTGATACTGGATGGGGGTGGGGGAAGATGAAAAGGGAGGCAGAGTTACTGTCAAATGCTCGGTCCTTGTGTTAGCCGGGCCCCCACCGGCGACCCCAACACTGCATCCTAAACACTAGGGCAAAGGGGCAAACATGCCCTTACCTCTCTTCATCGAGAGAGGTACCCTCCCTTCACCGAAGACAGGTAGAAAGCTATGCTTGCAGGAGTCCCCTGTATAGCCTTAGGAGTAGTGGTAGGTAGGTAGCGAAAGAAAGATATGTTCCATGACATGGCAGAACGCCAGTTAAAAAATGTGAGGTGAGAGAAAAATATGTGGCTGTACCCCAATGACGAGAAGGTGTCTTTTTTTGCCACTCTACCATGTGTCGGCTAACAGAAGAAATACGGCAACTTTGGTGATTTTTCGTGCTCAGACGAAGATTTTGTTAGAGGGTCTGTAGATTGGGTCCTAATCTTCCCAGGTAAAGTATCTGCGAGGCTCAAGGCCTCGACGAGCCCTTACGGGCCCTGTTTTCAGCAAGGTCGGCCGCCCTAAGTGAAGGCAGGGCCGGCCAAGGACGAGAGGCCTATTTTGGACTACCACGCAACTGGGGAAATTCAGGCAGTTGCGCAGCGCCAGTTGGTTGAGAGCGCCCAGGCCCTGGATGCCTTTATCAAATGTATCTGAGGCAGGCCCTGGCGAGATACGCAACATGGAGCCAACAAAGGCTGCGGGCAGTTGGACACGGGTAACCACCATAGGCCCTGGGCCTGATTCGTTTGGACAGGGGCTCAGCCTCTCGGGGCCTATCGGAAGCTTCTGGGCCGGGGCCCAGTGCAGCCAGGCCGCATGCAGCAGGCAGGCCACTTCCATTTAGGAAAGTGCCTTCCCTCGCATTCGGAATTCGGGCACTGGCTGCACGCTGCACAAGCGATGTTGCGCTAATTGCTGGCCAGCACCCACGCGCTCACGGGCGAGCAGGAAGAGCAGGCAGCCATAGCCGAGCTGCCCTGCGCTGTGCTGGATGGGGCGCATGGTGGTCCTTGGGTGCATGTGGCATCTGTGAGTGGGGGATCGAGGTCGTGAGTGATGCGAGAGACATACCTGGTGCTGGAGGCGAACGACATTGGGCAAGATGTGCTCGTACTTCAGGGAGCTGTTGACGCCACCAGCGGCATTGTAGATAGGCTAGATAGGATCTGCCATTTGTAGTCAGGGCGTAGAGCGCCAGATAGGAGTTCGACATTGGTTCTTTGTTGATGATGATGAGACTACTCCAACATTGTCACTTATGAGCTTTTGATGTGTTCTTATTTGGTGGAAATTGAGTTGCAATTCTGCTTTTGGTTCGAGGTCACGACTATCTGGTTTCATGTGTATGATGCTGCTTGGTTTCTGGAATTCGCTATCGCTCATTTTCCTTGCATATTAGAAAAATTAAAAACAATCATTTTGCCCGTCAAATAATTGCCGTGCCGATTCGGCATATTTCCATTTTTTGCCACTCTGGGACCAAGGCCCGGCCGCACACACTGACCTACCGGCAGGCCACGTGACTTGAAAGGCTGGACTGAAGTGAACTAACAGTAGGATCAAGTGTTGATTCATCTATAACTCCTGCTCCCTAGCCTCTAGTCTAGCTTTTCTTATCCTCACTCTCTCTCGTCTATCCTCTACATCCTGTAACAGGCCTTGTATCTCTGCGTGAAGGGCATCCGATTGCTGAATCTCGTAGTCCTCTTTGGACATAGGTTGCTGCTGGCTGACCCGCAAGCGAGCAAACTGACTGGAGAAAGGCTGGGACATACCCTGACTAATACTTGACGAAGAGGCCTGAGAAGAGGCCTGGGACATTGTAGAGGTAGCCATTGCTGCCTCCGCTTCAGCTCTAGCGTCTGCCGCTAATGTCGCTGCTAGGGCCCTCTCTGCGCTGGCTGCGTCTTCCTGCACTCTCTACAAACGCCTCCTCCCCTCAGCTTCCCTACGCGGTCTACTTTCCTCTCCTGGCTCTAACACTAAGAAAGTGGCCGGCCGACTAAGTGCCTGTCTCCGGGTAAGCCTCCTATCATCCTGGTCTAGTCTCTTTTTTTTTCTTTTTTTTTTCCCAAAAGTCCAGGATGTTGTACCAGTCTCCAGGCAGACGGAGATTACCGGAAGTGGTCAGCCACAGTTGTCCTGAGAAGATAAGGCTACCTCTTATCCCATCCTTGCGTCAATACTCCTAGCGCACCCCCTATCCCTACTATCCTACATCAGCGTAACCAGCACTCAGAGGACCATTGCCCTACCAGTACCGAGGGCAACTTGGACCGAACACAGGCACCAAGGCTAGCCATGACCCGCCCTGGTGGAAGCGGAATCAAACAAGCCTCGTCATATGGGAACTTCGGACACCAGGCTCAGTCAATCTTCTACTAGCCGCCGACCAACTCACTCACGTCCTCTACTCTCCCACACACAGTCTAGCTGATTTTTAGGTGGGGTGGTTATCATCGAAACGCCTATCATCATCACCAGTTGATCCCATACCAACCAGTGAGACCAACCAAAGACTCACGCCCTCTACTCTCCCACACAGTCTAGCTGATTTTAAGGTGGGGTACTTGTCATCGAAACGCCTATCATCATTATTAGTTGATCGAGACCTCCTCCCCAACCTTTAGTATTGTGGTTGTGGTTGTATATACCGTATGTATGTGTGCCCATAGGCTATGTGTATATTCGTGGCAGATGCTGCTCCCCACCATGGAGCATCTGCGAAGTTGTGTGCTATGTATGACGAAGTATGTGGTTGTGCCCGTAGACAGTACCTGGGGTAGTGTCTCCTGTGTTGAATATGTGCTAGTGACAGGCCTATCTAGACAAGTCCCTCTAGTCTCTTAACCTCTGTGTCATCTTCACTCATGAGCTACATGTGGCATGCAATCTGCACTAGTGTCCTCAGTGGGACCTATCGCAGCGCGGGGCACCCAACCAATGCTTAAAATAAATAAAATAAAATAAACATTCGGTCCATATTTGTTAGGATGTAGTCAAGTGGCAACTACAGATGAGTTCAGAGTCTTCATACCCTTACAAACAATTCTACTCCTATTTACGACTAGTCTCAAATAGATTGCGATGCAACAAAGAATGAATTACTACTGTACCTGCAACATTCTGTCAGTTGTCAACAGTGTCTATAATAACTAACTAGTCAAAATAAAAAT